AATGCACCGTGCCCAAGTGCACCGCTCCTAGTATTTGTAACACTATACATTGAAATACTTGAGCACTAAGAGCTGTATTTGAATCACAGAATATTACTAAGCACTATATTTTTAATACTGAAAATAAGTACTTAATGATTTTCAGTATGATATTTCTCTAAGGGTATAATAATTTATTGTTTTAAGTTTATATAAATGTTCTTGCGTTACATGTTTTGATTACAATAAACTATATTAACATTATTGAAATAGATTTTAAATCTATCTTGTTTTATCATCAATATACCCTAATGGCATAATTTATTGTGGACCTGCATCTGCACATCATGTAAAAACAATACTTGTAAATAGGTTTTTAACCTTAAAACAGTGTGGCTTTTTAATTTAGGATAATATTTGAAAAATATAATATATATTTTAATGGTTATATAACTTTAATTAAGAATAAGTAAAATTTTATTAGAAAACAACTTCAGATGATTTTATAATCAATAATACAATTTTACAAAATTATCTCGTGTATTTGTCACGGTATTGTTCTGCCTGACCCACTGCTTGCAGCCGTGAGACAGCATTAAGTAGCTTTGGGTTGTTATGAATCACATAATAGTAGTAGATGGTGATATCTGTAATTAATTTCTGCTTTAGGGAAATGACTCGGAGAGGCATTATCGGAAACACCCATTGGGTGTTTACGACAATGAATGTTTACGACAATTAGAGTTATGGCTTCTGCACACAGGACGCGGTAATGCTTGCCGCGCGGCGGAAGTTCGCAGAACAGCCAATCAATATGCTTCTTTCCGTAATAACCTTCTAGCTCTTACGGAAAAACAACATATTGATTGGCTGTCGCGCGGACTTTCGCCGCGCGGCAAATATTACCGCGTCCTGTGTGCAGGAGCCATTAGAAGTTAGTTCCACTAGGGCCGAAAATTATGATAGGCATGACCATCTAGTATTTTTGTAGTTTATGACAACTTCTTCTAAGGGCTATCGCACACAAATTGACATAACTGCATATGCATAGCATAAGATCGTATGGACCAATGAGCATTGAATATTAAGCATCGAACACCAATATAGCGACTTAATACTCGATGCTCATTGGTACATACGGTCTTATGCTATGCATATGCAGTTATGTCAATTTGTGTGCGATAGGAAAAAGCTGAAGTAAGATGTAAAAAACGCGCATTCAACATCAGATAATAATTTCGTAAAATCTCCCGATTATATTCATATTTTTTAGCGTGTGGTAACATTGTTTGTATTTTATTATTTTTTATTGTATGTATTTGTAGATTTTGACTATATGTATATATTTGTAAATTTTGACTGAATTCCACAAAAATCTATAAATATCTACATACATACAATTTGACTGAATTTCGCAAAAATCTACATACAACCCTTATAGAAATATCATACTAAGAATCATTGATAATTACTTATTTTCAGTATTAAAAATACTGGATAATAAGTAATTATCAATGATTCTTAGTATGATATTTCTATAAGGGAATAAAAAATAAAATACAATAAAATACAATAAAATACAAACAATATTACTACACGCTAAAAAAATATAGATATAATCGTGAGATTTTACGAAATTATTATCTGATGTCGAATACCCGTTCTTTACTTCTTATGGCTCCTGCACACAGGACGCGGTAATGTTTGCCGCGCGGCAAAAGTTCGCGCGACAGTCAATCAATATGCTGCTTTCCGTAATGACTTAGCTCTTATGGAAAAACAACATATTGATTGGCTGTCGCGCGAACTTCCGCCGCGCGGCAAGCATTACCGCGTCGTGTGTGCAAAAGCTATTACTCCAGCTTGTTTCTATGGTAAGACATTGAGGGTGTTACGTCCACGATAAATAACTATCTAGGGAAATTTGAAAGTAGTGAAATCAGTGACTTACGTGGACGGTCAACAGAGTGATGACTCCGCTTTTGGGTCACTCTGCTTTTCACCGAGTTTACTCTGGGTCTCCGGAGTCTGACGAGACGATCGATGAATTTGGCGAGAAATCAGCGCTGTTCGTTCTCCTGGCTCGGTCTCGGATGTTCCGGCGCTGCGCGGGATGATGCGGCCCGCGATTCCGAATTTCAATTTCGTAACGTTCGAAAAATGAAGGGTAGGCAAAAGTAATTGCAACACAGTCGGATTTTACGACTAATATATTCCAAATAAGTACACGAGAATTACCAGAGACTAATTATGAGAAGAAATAATCGTCTTCTCAACAAATGCGCGCGTTTTTATATGTCGCTTTGTCGCTGAGAGTCGTTTCCTGATTGGCTGATGGAGTCATGGAGATGGAAGAGATTCATCCCATCGGTATGATGTCACCGCGTCGATATCGCCGCGTCAGCCCTGAGTGGTGTTTGGATTCAGTTTTCATGCTCCTGTTTATGTTAGCAGCGGGACGCCTTATCACATTGAGCGATTACGGTTTCTCTTGTCTACAGTTGATCCATCGATTTTAAGACTCCCTAACGACACACAGTGTTCAGCGTTATAATTTTAATTATAATATTTAACGTGCGCGAATATACATATGCGCATGTACTTACGTCTAGTAACATAGGTATAAAATATCTAGTGATGTCTGAAATCAAACAAGTCGGCCTCCGATCTATATTAATATATTATTAATGTTTCAAAGTAAGTCCGGATGTTACAAGGATTTGTTCGCGTCGCATGCCTCAACGTGCTACTACTCGCTCTAACGCACTCTGATTGGTCACGTCACTACGCGGACCAATCAGAGTGCGTTGGAGCGAGTAGGAGTACGTTGGGGTATGCGATGCGAACAAACCTTGAGTTAGAAGTAGTTGTCATAAACTACAAAAGTACTAGATGATCGTGCCTATCATAATTTTCGATCCTAGTGGAACTAACTCTAATTGTCATAAACACCCATTACCTACTGCACCACTGTCACTTTGACTAGGGACGCTTTGTGTTGTATACATATCCCAGACGGCACAAATGTCCAAAATCGAGTCATAAGACGTCTTTAAGGCAACTTTACGACATCTTTAAGACAATACTTTATAAACTTTTGTTAAAGACATCTTAAAGACGTCTTAAAGACGTCTTATGTCCCACTTTTAGACATTGTGCTGTCTGGGATGGTATATCCATGTACGAAAACATATGATTTATTTAAAAGAAGAGAATAGATCCTTTTAAATGTAAAAAGTATATAAAAGTATATTTAGAAAATATTTATTTATTAAAACGTAAGTAAAATACAAATAAATTATTTTGTAAATTTAAATAAATTGTTTTCTGATAATAAAAGAAACTTTAATTTGAATCACAAAAAAGATACTTTTAATATTAGAAAATAATTTATTTAGATTTATAAAATGATTTACATGTATTTTATTTACTTTTAAAACTAGCAAATATTTATTTAAACACAGTTTTTACATTTAAAAATCTAATTTTCTTCTTGTGAGGAAATCATTTGCTTATTCTTATATATAAATATAAGACATCATTTATTAAATCAAAGACATCATTTTTTTCATTTAGAACTTCATAATTTTTCAGCTTATTTTACAAATTTAAAAAAATATTTCTATATATTTATTACATGTTTTCTAAAAGCTAAGAAATATTTGTTTAAGTTAAAAAGTTATATTTAACACAATACATTTCTTTGATTTAAAAAAAATTTTTTTAATGTATATACATTACTAATTTAAATTTCAATTTTCTTATTTATTCATTAATTTCATAAGTAATATTATTTATTTTTTTCATGTGTAATATTTATAGAAATATTTACAAAATATTACTACAATTTTTTGTTCACAATAAAATTGTATAAAATATTTAGATATTTAGCCTATATTTTAATAATATTTTATTATATATATTTATTACATGTTTTCTAAAAGCTAAGAAATATTTGTTTAAGTTAAAAAGTTATATTTAACACAATACATTTCTTTGATTTAAAAAAAATTTTTTTAATGTATATACATTACTAATTTAAATTTCAATTTTCTTATTTATTCATTAATTTCATAAGTAATATTATTTATTTTTTTCATGTGTAATATTTATAGAAATATTTACAAAATATTACTACAATTTTTTGTTCACAATAAAATTGTATAAAATATTTAGATATTTAGCCTATATTTTAATAATATTTTATATAAAGATTTTCATACTTTTTCCTCTCTCTCTCTCTTTATGTATATATAAAAAAATATTTATAAAATATTTATATAATATTTAAAAAAAATAATTCGAAATAAATATTTATAAGTATTTACCATTAATATTGTGTGCTATCTGGGTTAATACTTTAAATCTTGGTAGTACTTTGCGTAAGTATTTCATCATTTAGCAAAGTATTATATATTAGTATTTAAATATTGATAATGTTCTGCGTAAGTATTTTATCATTGAATGAAGAATTGTATGTCAATATTTAAGTATTGAAATCACTCATAAGGTAGTATTTGTAACACTAAACACTGATACTAAATACTCCCACATAGCACCGTGTGATTGCAGAAATGTTACAGAAATGTTACATTGTAAGTTTGCAATGTTGCAGCAACGTTGCTGCAATGTTGCAGGATGGTTACAGCAAGGTTGCAATGTCCCCTCTCAGAGAGATTGCATTGCACCATTACAGCAATGTTGCGGAGCAATGTATTTGCAATAAAGCAACGTTATTGCATACGGGATGAGTATGAACAAATAGGCGGAACTGTTTTACTATGCAGGATTGTTAGCATTGCATTACCGACGGTCTCGGCTCTGTAAGTTAAGATATGTACGTAAAAGTGTCCTCAAGCAATTAATGTATGTAATATCTTAAATATATTAATTGCTGGAAAAGACTAATGTACATTTTCATTTTAGAGAACCGAGAGCATTGTTGTCGATGATGTGATGGTAACAATCTTGCGTAGTAAAATATAAGTAAGAAAGTTTAATGAACAATACATTAATTTTAATCAATTATATATTTATTTTTTATAGGTATTCTGGGAGATCTGTTATAGACTATGAAACAAGAAATAAAATAAATTTTTCAATTGTTTTCTTAAACAAAATGAAACATAATGTTATAGAAAAAAAACAGTAACTTTTTAATTTGTTACCGTAACAAATCATAAAAACAAAACAAAATGACTTATATTTCTTTCTTCAACTCGGGAATAGTCACCTGGAGTCATTTTAAACCCTAACGGTTATAGAAATTAAGTTGTCACCATAAAACATTTGATTTTTGAAAGATTAATGTAATATCTGCAATGTTGCCACATAGTGAATCATAGGGAAATTGATTATTATCTTGTGTTAATAGAAGCAATTTTAAAATTGGATCTAAAATGAAGTAAGTACTCCTGAGTTCGGGTTGTGAATCACAGATCATTAAATAACAACATATACTAAATATATACAAAGTGATGTTCAAATGTGTTATCTTATCTGTTACCATAATAAATCATTAGATAATGAAAAAAATTAACTGTTACATGTTTCCCTAAAAGAACTTTTCCTCTGCAACAAAAGGATTTTTTAAAGACGATAAAAAAATATATATCACATATATGTAACATATATTATTAACATTCTAACAATGTTAGAATGTTAATAATTTGTTTTGTTTAAATCGAGTTTAAGTCGAAATCTAAGTTTAAACAATCATTGAAAAACCGGTTCTTAGTCGACTTATGCCTAACACTGTTACATGAGGTTCAGCGTGTATTCACCAAAAATACTTCGGGGACGAGAGGCCGTTGAGTTCCGCGCGATTTTTCTTCTTCCATTAACGTCTCTTTACTAGTCAATTCGATTCACATTGCTGGATGCGACCTGTAAAAATACAAAAACAATTTAGAAATAATAATTATAATGTAATATACCAAGTGTTTGAAGAGAGAGAGAGAGAGATAAATTGGAATGTCATATATATTTGTAGAGAACCTTACTCGGCCAATAGATTAGCACTAGATTTATCAGAAAAAAAAACAATGATCTTTATATAACGATTACTTAATTCAATGGCTGCGTTCAGCAGAGAAAGCTGCTTTGCAACTGTTGTAAAATTCGTGAATCTGATTGGTACATGCTCTTGGATTCAACCAAAATTAAGAGTATACTCCAATCAGATTAACGAATTTTATAACAGTTGCAAAGCAGCTTTCTCTGCTGAACGCAGCCAATGCTATTCTATCCGTCAAGTTGGGTTTTGGAACTCCATTCAGCATGCTAATATTATTGTACGCGCACTCTGATTATAGTTCTTAATCTACAGTTATGTGAGTGTTTTTTTCTTTAACGCTTTGTATACTCAAGGAGAATAGGAAATCTAAATAATGTCAATTTGAAATAAATGATATCATATTGATGTTATATTGATCGAATTTACGTTATATTTTGTTAATATAATATTGTCAATATAATGATAATGGAATATCATTCATGTTAAATTGACAATGTACATTTTTATTTGTAATATTTTTGTACAAATATATAAAAAGATAAAAGAAAATGTAAAGGTTTATTTCGGCATATAAAATGACAAATATACGTACTTTTCTCTTGTAGTTCTTAAAGTAGTTTGTGCAAGCCACTTTGATATGGAGTCTGCAATTTCCATATCTGTTACCTGGCCATGTAACATTCGAACAGCTTCTGTGGTATAAAAGCGTGAAGCCATATATTATAAATATTATCCAAAAGACATATATACATATAAATATATCTTCAGAACATATAATCGTTTGATGTTATCTTGATTTTTATATGATGTTTTGTTCTATTTAGATGTTTTATATATAAATGTTGTATCTTAATTAGCTTAAAATTTTATTAGATAACAGATACATAAACAGACTTACGTGCAATCATTTTTGTGAGATTTAACTGTTGGAAGCTCTTTTTCCAGCCCAACTAAAATTTAGGGCTACAGAATTTGTAATTGCTTTTTTCAGCATATTATGAATCATAACATGCGCTGTACTTCCACCAACCAATTGAAAAAATGAAGCTGAAGAAAATGAAGTATGTAAATAATGGCAGACTAAAATAGACTTTATAACAATTATTTAAATACATAAATTACTAAAAAGAAATAACCCAACAAATATAAAAGAATAGTAACAGACTTCTCTTTAACGTCGGAAAGTAGTTATTATTAGGACAAAAGTGACAAAAAATGATCAAATAACGAACAAAAATAACGTCAAAATTACGTATGATTACTACATGTATTTTCATACCACTTCATTTTTGAATTGCATTTTCTGTAATTGCTCTTCAAAACATGTTAGTTCCGATATTGTGGATACAGGGAATGTAACATTACATTCCTCACGAACAGAATTGACAAATCCTATCTTATTTTCAACAATATGGAGTTTGTTTTCTAATATATCAAGTTTATATAATATTTTGTTTAACTTTAATAAAACTTGTTTATTGAATTCTGGAAAAAATATATTTATTAATTATATTTAATTGTTATTACATTAGTATTACTATTTACTATAAAATGTTATATAAATGCATGTGCCTCAATTCTACATATAAGGTAGTTGTAGTAGTATACAGTAGTAATAAGGTAGTTTAATAAATTATAAGTTTAACATAAAACCATACCATCCGTTGAAAACTATTCTTTACCCCTATTAATAGTAGAATTTTCTCCAAGAAGTTCTTTCGTTTACTTTGTCTATTAGTGTCTTCATCTAAAAAATAGAAATATGAGTGACATATTTTTATCAATATAATAATATTGTTATTGTTTATGATATTATTCACCATTATTTTTCGCGATATTGATTAATGTTTTGTTGAATAATATATCTTTAGAATTATCTGTAGATTTGTGTATTGGAAACTGTGTGTGGATATGTTCATTAATGACAGGCACAAATTGTTCTATTCCTGGAAAAGCAGATAACGTTTTCATTTGTGTCCATCTATTTTCCTTATTATTATCTGCAATATCTTTGTCAGATGAAAAAGAGGAGAACTTCTTTTTTGCTTTTATGCGCCTTCTTTTCTTCTCTGGCTCTCTTAATACTTCTGAAGACATATCACTGTTGTCTATGTTGTCTATGTTGGACGTTTCTTGCGCTAGGACTAATTTTTCCATGGCTTTTGCATAAGTAGCTTAATGATTTAAAACAAAATAAAATTATGACAAAATATATGCATGTACATATATATGTACTACATATCATGTATGCCTTTACATTTTAACATTCACTAAAAGAAAAATATTTCGAGCGGACGCATTTCATACTTAGATATTCTTATATCATGATTACCCAGATAGCACGATGAATTCTTTAAGTGTTCCTAAAGTTTTCTTCTTTCCTGAATTGTACTTCCTTAGGAATTCGTGGAACAATACTATAAGAATGATTTAGGAAGTTACATGCACCATGATTGGAGTTTCTCAGAACTTTTTAGAGTATTCATATAAAATTACTTCAACTCAAAAAGATTTCTTCGGATTTAATAAATTTTATTGTATCCACACGAAAGAAAGATCAGAAACTTTGGCCGGGGGTGCTGCTGCTCTTATGTGTATCTGTAGATGTCCACTTTTAATGCTATATGAAATGAAAAACATCAGACTCGGCTGGGATCGAACTCGGGTCTTCCGCTTGCCAGACAACCGCTATTTCCACTGAGTTATTTAAGACTTCATGTTTGAGACATCTATATATCTAGTGAAAAATGATTCGTTGATTGACGTCAAAATGATATCAAATTGACGTCGGTTTGACGATTTCAACGTCTATTTGATGTCATTTTGACGTCAATCAACGAATCATTTTTCGCTGAATACTATACTGTTAAAACTGTTATAACTGTTATACTGTTATACTGTTATATATACTGTTCTAACTGAGCTTCAAATGTAAGTAAAGCGCACTTTCAAATATGTAATTCAAAATCCAAAAATAAATGGCTTTCAAATAATGCGATTGAGTTTGTTAGAACTATATATGGATTTTAGAAACATGAATACAAACTTAAGGATAAAATATACTTCGCATAAATATATTTATTATTGATACAGGTGAAAATTTTATATATCAAAAGTTATTTTAACACCAATTCCCTCTTTTTGCCCTATTATATCAAACTATATAATTAATTCCACAAAATATAAATAACTGCGCATAACAATCCAGTAAATATGCATGTCTAAAAGATGTCGAAAAGATATCTAAAAGATATCTTATGCAACATTTTGTTGCATAAAACGTCTTTTAGATATCTTATCGACATCTTTTAGACATGTATGTTTACTGGGAATAAATTAAACAATTTATATGTAAATATGTAAATTAATTATTATACACTCACTGGCATATACTGAATATAGGCGCAAAAAGTAATTGCTATAAACAAAACATTTGTAAGGGCTAAGGCAGATGAACGAGACATAAGCGTCATAGTCGTAGACGTAAAATAAAGCAGAGAAAAACGTAAACGTAAATCATGAAAGGCTGTTAGCCTATTACACTATATATAAAAGGCTATTACGCTTATATTTTTCTCTGCCTTACTTTACGTCTACGATTACGACGCTTACGACGATTACGTCTCGTTCTCTGCCTTATGGCTCCTGCACACAGAACGCGGTAACGCTTGCCGGATGTATATCAGTTGGACACGGTGCATTTGGACACAGCCAATCACAGCACCGTGTGATTAGAGACATTTGTAGGGTCCCTTGGAACAGCGACTTGTGATTGGACTGTGTCCAATTGCCCCGTGTCCAACTGATATACACCCTTGCCGCGCGGCGGAAATCCGCGCGACAGCCAATCAATATGTTGTTTTTCCGTAAGAGCTAGAAGGTTATTACGGAAAGCAGCATATTGATTGGCTGTCGCGCGAACTTCCGTCGCGCGGCAAGTATTACCGCGTCCTGTGCCCTAAGCCATTAGCCCTAATTCCTCATGAATTCTCAATGTGTTCTAGGAATTAAGTTGCGAAGTATTCGCTATAATGAAGTCCTAAGGAATATTTCTAGACGAACTTACTGTAGTTAATTCTTCAAGAATTCTTCGGGTATTCATTTTTCTAATTCTATATCTATTCTTTAAAATGAATTCTCTAGGAACTTCTGTTCATCCCTATGCTATCTGGGTATTGATTATCCAAAAGAAAGTTTACGGAAAGTTTAAAGAAACTTAGGACTTAATGTTTAATCTCTCATACATGTTAAATGCTTTAAATTGTCAGACTTTCGCTTTGAAACCGTTTCTATTTCTTGAAGTAACCAACAGTGTTGCTTAACAGTAGATTAACAGTTAATGCAAAAATATTTAGGCAAAAACAGTCCGATCAAAAATTTTATTCTATTTAAACAATTGTATCCCATTTACACCGATATTCATAATCAGATTTTATATTTAAGTTATTTATTTTGATGTATTATTATGCTCCATTTCATCGGCTACGAAATATATAAAAATAAAGTTGAAGTTATCTTATAGTATTGAAGCGGGTTCGAATCGTTCCAGGAGCGATTATAGGGGAAGGGGAATGACGCCAAAAGCCTGTACTAGTTAATCACAGGACTTAAAAACCAGATTAGAGGCTTTAATCCATTTAATTCCATTAATCTCTCCCGAAACGATCTTCAGCCACTTCATTCGAAAGCGCTATTAAATATCATCTGGCTATGAATATTGATCCTAACAGAGAATGTTACAAATATTAGGGTATACATGATGACAGGTGTATAAATATAATGAATGATAAAAGTTCATAATAAATTGATTTACCTGCAGTACTAAAAATCCTCTTAACCGGTAATTGTTCCCAATCAGATGTTTCCCGTGGCATCTCTTTGCTTATTATGGCTTTATTAATGCGCAATGTGGTTTTCGAATGACATAAGAATAGATGAACTGTATGCTATTAATGCTTATAAGAATTTTCAAATGAGTTATTCTATTGTAAATGATATTCCACACTTTTTACCCATAAGTTGCACGCCATTAGATTATATGCATCTTATATGTTTGGGTGTTGTAAAAAAATGATAATTCTATGAATGAAAGGACTATTGTCTGTTCATCTAAGTACAAGGTCAATTAATATAATATCTCATCTATTAATATCACTTAAATATACTACACCAAAAGATTTTGTCAGAAGACCAAGATGTATTAGAGATGTTAAGCAATGGCCATAGAATTTAGAAACTTTCTTTTAGGCCATATAGAATATTGCTTTTCAGCATTATACCATGCTGCAGGTATTAACTGTAGTCCATCATTAAATTCCGTAATAATATATCCATTGACATCCATTTTTTCACAAGTCATGCTTCGGGATATAGTACACTTGTATATTATAATGTATTGAAAGAAATATGCTTACTATATGTAAAACTATATTGTATGGTTTAGCTGAAGTTGCTAGACTTGCAGGGTGATTAGTACACATCTTTTGCACATTTTAATTTTTTACCAATAAGAAAAATATGTGTATCTTTTTCTACTATGTTTTTAACTAAAATACACAATCCATTTTTTAAAATACAACAATTGTCATTGAAACCTTTACAATTTATGTTAAATTTTTTATTTGATATTTGCAGATATTATGCTTGAACGTTAAAATCATCTGGTAGTGGTCCATTACTATGTAAATATTTATATGTGTATAATTTGTTATTATTGTAATTATGTCTTGATGATAAAATTCCAACATTTTCAATTTCTTGATATCTTTTCAATAATTGTTGCAATAGTTTATCACTTTTCCTTAATCATTTTTTAATCGATGTCATGTAATTCTCGAAACGAAAAGCATTGAAATTATCCAATGACCCAAATCTTCTTACGTCAGAACATAAATGTAAAAGATTATGAACGTTATGTGATATGTACTGTTTACCGTATAATATTTCAAAAGATAAAACAAAATTGTTGAGTATAGCTTCAGCAAAATCGATAAATCCATCTTTACATAAGTTTGGACGTATGAGAATTGTGGTAGCAACATGAAGTGTGAGGAAATGATGGTACATGTCCTTTCTTAATGTATCTTTCAATACCACAAGCCCTGTATATAAAAGAAAGTTTTTAAATTCTACGGTCTTCCATTGCTTAACATCTCTAATACATCTTGGTCTTCTGACAAAATCTTTTGGTGCAGTATATTTAAGTAATATTAATAGATGAGATTATATTAATTGACCTTGTACTTAGACGAACAGACAATAGTCCTTTCATTCATAGAATTATCATTTTTTTGTAACACCCAAACATATAAGATGCATATAATCTAATGGCGTGCAACTTATGGGTAAAAAGTGTGGAATATCATTTACAATAGAATAACCCATTTGAAAATTCTTATAAGCATTAATAGCATACAGTTCATCTATTCTTAACGAATATGATATTGCTCTATTTGGAAAACAAATTCTGCCATTTATATATTTACTCTTAATTATGTATTTTGTGCAACTGTAAAATCCAGTATGACCTTTTGTGCACAAAACGAAACGATTTAGCTAGTGCATCGCATATTAAACCAAACAATCTAATTTTGATTACTTTGTCATTATGATAATAGCCTTCATTTATTAAATTAGTTAAATTTTTCACTAAAGATTGCAGAAAAATATTACAATCTTCAGGTTTTTTATATCCGAAATATTCGCTTACAAGATACACGGCATTATTTATAGTATTAGAACATAAAATAGGCCACAATGATGCATTAGATGACTTTGCTAATGGAAGACCATCAATATTTATAAGTAAATTAATGTATTCATCATTAGATCTTGATAACATTTTTTTTATAACATTATGTAAACCTAAATGAAAATATTCCCTTCCGCATAATTTTGAAACTTCAATTTGTCTTGGAGTTTGCAATAATGTTCGTGTATCTTTTGTGAAAGTACCAGGTATATATTGTTGCAAAATTTTTAATAATGCATTACAAGCAACATGAGAGATATTATATGACACAGCCCATACAGCAATATCATTTCTAAACTGCTTGTCGCAATTAGTATTATCATTAGTATTATTATCTGCAGTACAATTCTCAAAGTCAATATCATTATTTGTCTCAATAATATTTTCACGTTGATAACTATCTTCACTTTCAGATAACATAATTATATTATCCACATTGACAATATTATTGCTACTTGTATTAAATGTATCTATTTTCTCTTTGGCAATTTTGTCTGAATTATCAGAATCTTTCAAAGCGTTCCATTGTTCTAAAGTTTGCCCGAAACACCCCGCAACATCTATATCTGTCTGGTCTGCAATAATTCGCCTAACATGACGATTGGAAACACAAAGATTTTTTTTCGCGCGTTATACATATTTATTACAATAATATTTACACAAGTATTGCGCTACAAAAAATTTGAACATTTTCTTCAGCACTATTCTAATTAAATGTGAAAATATTTTCAATTTTATCATACTATTATTATAACACTATAACCTCAAAATAATCAAGTTCAGTTATTAGCAAAATAATTATATTTACCAGACTAAGAAGCGTTCCGCGTTTTTCTCCTATATTTTTTGATGAAAACTTTATAATAAAAATCCGTGGTTATAATCTCCTTGTGTGCCTTCTTATCGTGAACAATACGTTTTTGCGTTGAGTACGTCCAGCAAACATGACGATTGAGTAAATAGGTGCGCTCCGAAAGCGAGTTATTTGGTCTATTCTTTTTAGGTGAACTAGCTGCACTAGTTCACATGTTAAATTTTTTTATTATTATCAAGACAGCACAAAATCTGAAAGAGACGTTCGGAAGATGTAAATACTCATTATAAGTATAATGAAAGGAATTAATTTTGATAAAGAAAATATATAGTTGTCTTAAAGAAAAAATAATTTTTTTAAAGAAAACCAGAATTACAACTATATACTTTCTTTATACCAAAATTGATTTCTCTCATTATACTCAGAATGAGTATTTACCTCTACCGGACGTCCCTTTCAGATTTTGTGCTGTCTTGATAATAATAAAAAAAATGTAACATTAACATATTTTTGCAATGTGTCTGAAACATTGCTACAACGTTACTATTGGAAAGTTTGCAATGCCATAACCGAGCAATATCTCTGCAATATTGCATTGCAATATGCAAGATTGCAACATTGCTACAACGTTGTTGCAATTTTATGTGCTATGTGGGACTTGAGCACTAAGAGCTGTACTTGAATCACAGAATATTACTAAATACTGTACTTTTAATACTAATAATAAGTAATTAATCAATGATTTTCAGTATATTTCTGTAAGGGTTACAAGATAGCACGATGAATTCTTTAAGTGTTTCTAAAGTTTTCTCCTTTCCTGAATTGTACTTCCTTAGGAATTCGTGGAAGAATACTATAAAAATGATTTAGCCCTTATAGAAATATCATACTAAGAATCATTGATAATTACTTATTTTTAGTATTAAAAATATTGGATAATAAGTAATTATCAATGATTCTTATTATGATATTTCTATAAGGGAGGAAGTTACATGCCCAGATAGCCAAACCTGCGCGAACAGATTTCGAGCAGAGCTTGCTATCAACTTTTGATGGCAAATAGATAACAAATTTGATGCAGGATCTGTTATATCAAATCTTGCTGCCAAATTGCCGCCAGATATGCGGCAGAGCTTGTTGTCGGAAAATTGCTGCAGATTTGCAACAAAAACTGCGCAGAGCTTGTAGCGATTTGACTGCAGATTGGCGGCAGAAACCGCGCAGACCTTGCTGCGCTGCAGGCTTTGCGTGGTTTTTGCTGCAAATTTGGCACCAATTGCCCGACAGCAAGATCTGTCGCCAAAACCGTAGCCTAATGTAGACACAGATGACTATGGTTTTGCTGTGGATTTTTTATCAAATTTGTTGCCAATCTGCGCGCAGTCTGCGCTCAATTTGCTTATTGGGATGCACAATAATTGGAGTTCCTCAGAACTTCTTAGAGTATTCATATAGAATTACTTCAACTCAAAAAGATTTCTTCGGATTTAATAAATTTTATTGTATCCACATGAAAAAAAGAGCAGAAACTTTAGCCAGGGGTGCGCTGCTCTTGTGTGTATCTGTAGATGTCCACTTTTAATGCTATATGAGATGAAAAACATTAGACTCGGCTGGGATCGAACTCGGGTCTTCCGCTTGCCAGACAACCGCTCTTTCCACTGAGCTATTTAAGACTTCATGTTTGTGACATCTATATACCTAGTGAAAAATGA